TTTAATTTTTTAAAATCATTTAGGGGTATATATGATCCTTCTAGCAAAGTTCAAGGTATATTTTAATCTTTTTTCATACATAAATTATTTTTTTGACTTCTTTGATTATCATTATTTGAGTTTCTTATTCTTATTTTATTTTTTCTTTTATTCCTTAATATAAGAAAAAAATTTAAAACAATTTTTTTTTGCTATATTATAATTTAAAACTATTTTTCGGCTATATTGTAATTTAGTTTTTGTATTTGGAAAAAAAAATTGGGTCATCTATAATAAATTTTACAAGAATATTAGTGAAACATAAATAAGTTTGACTATCAAAATAATAAATCTAAATTAGTCATTGTAACAAAAAAAAAAGTCAAAAAAATATATGTTTGAGGAGGATTAAGTATACCCATATGGGATTATATTTTATTTAAAAATATTATTAAGAAATTAAACTAAGATTAATTTTTTCACTTCCGTTAGAGAAAATGGTATATGTGAGCTATTTCTATACCAGTAGGAGTATATATGAGCTACTTTCATAACGAGGGGTATATCAGCTCTAAATGACAAAGTTGAGGAGTATATCAAGCCCTTTTCACGTAAAAATATTATACTAATTATTAACGTATCAAACGACCCTTAGACCCAAAAGCTTACATATCTTTTTCTCCTGTCCATTGTGGAGTATTTTTTATGTCAAATCTTTTAACAATCATTATTTTTTACGAAAAAAAGAGCTAAAGCTGATGTCTAAATAGTAAAAGGCTATGTTGAATCACTTTGTATTGTTATTGTCAAGCAACAACAATAACATATTAATGAAATCTTACGAATGAATATGCACTATGCACCCTTACCTTTACCTTATAAAGATATAAAAATTGTTTTCGATAAATTCTCAGCTTAAGACATTATCAATGTCACTAATTAATAAAATAAACATACTCAATCTTAAAAGATTCTACAAAGGAGAAATACATATAAGTAAATAGCAAATTCAAAATTTGCACAGTTGAGATACAGCTAAAATACTTAAATTCATCACATCAAAAATCTTAACACGAAAAAATATATATTCGAATTCTTATAAGATAAAAAAGAGCTAGTTAAGAGGACCCGTGAAAACGGTGAAATAGTAAGATTCATTGCACAGCTCAACTATATTTCTAAAGTATTCCAAAAGTAGGATCCACTAAAAGCCCATACTTTTCGAAAAGTGGTGTCATCTCATGTCTTTTACCGTCTTTATCTAAGCTAAAAGAAAAAAATGTACTGAATTTTTAACAAAACACGTAACGAACGGTTTAAGTAAAGTAAGGTCTAGTAAGATATACTTATTATGTTGAGGATTTTATTATTATTAATAAAAGGCCGCTAAAACACTCGGTGTAAATGGTATAAATTAATTTTTTTAAAACGATAACTCACCGGAAAAGAATCAGCTGAGCCATTGCTCTTCATGGTCGGCCACCGTCCCACTCCCGCCGGTCTATTTTTAGAATAGTACGTGTATCTCTTTAACCAATGTTTGAAATGACAAAAAAGGACATAAAATATCATTGAAATTACGAAAACGAACCTGGAGAAACCAGCAAGCAGAGTCTCCATTGCCGTCTTCTCCATCAAGCTCGTTACCGTCAACGTCACAAATACGACAAAACCTACCAAATGCCTACGATATTTTATAACATAAGATTAATATAACTCGAAAATCAGCTAAATTCAAATGAGTGAAATTGAATTCTCGCATTGTGCGAAAAGTTTCTCCAAATTGTAAAATCAGAGCTAAAAAAACTCAAAAATTGATTTGATTCAAATGCAAAGGAGTGAAACTAAGAGTCAAGTTGTGAAAATAGAGATTCTCTGAGTTCGAAATTAGTAAAATAAGAACTAAAAAAGCTCGAAAATCATCTAAATTCAAATGCAAATGAGTGAAATTAAGAGTCTCATTGTGCAAATGGAGGATCCTACAAATTTGAAGTTAGTAAAATGAGAGCTAAAAAAACTGGAAAATCAACGAAATTCAAATGCAAATGAGTGAAATTGAGAGTATCGTTGTGCAAATGGAAGATAAGATCCTACAAATTTGAAATTCGTACAATGAGAGCTAAAAAAAACTTGAAAATCAACGCAATTCATACGCAAAATGAAGTGAAAATTTGAATTTCGAACTTACGTCCAAATATTGAGAGTCTCGTTATGCCAAGAGAAGACGCTAAGAGCTACCTCCTTAAGAGGCCATTCACAACGATAATAGTCTCTGATGAACTCATTATCTTGAAGATATACAGGTAATTCCTCGAATTTCGTCAATCTACGCTTGAACTTCTTCTCCTCCTCCTTATAACTATTCATCTTCTTCTCCTTCAATATTGCCGATTCAGTAATCTCTGTTTTTTCGATTTTCGAGCTCTTCTTAGTTCCTTTGTTCATCATGCTTTTCATCGCCGCTGCCGGCAAGAGATCTCAGATTCCGGCGACTTTTCACCGGAAATTTCCGAGTTTGTTTGTGTTTCGTGAGTGACGAACTAATATGAAAGGCGTGACTTCCACTCAACTTTTTTTTCTACTTATTTATACATTTAGTAAGAGACAGTTGGAAAAATAGTTTAACAAACAAACAATTACTTTTTTAGGCCTTGAGAGCACATATAAGAAAGCACACCTAATACTAAAAATTAGCAAATTTTATTAAATAAATAAATATTTTTTTGTTAGTATTAACTTTGCTTAGAAAAGAAATGTTGAGAGGAACCACCAAAGATCGCAACGGCTTGGATTGTTCCTCCTTTAATTAGAAGTCTCATTTTCGAGCTTTGATTATGAGGAAAAAAAAAGATTTCATGGATTGAATTATGCTATCAAATATGAGCACACTGGACGATTGACAAGACAACAAGATTGAGTTGACGTACGACGTCTCCATGAGAGGCAAGAGTTGCGACGCATGAGACTTGTGAGTTGTTACATGTCGTAACGACTTTAGAGACTAGGGACTTTAATTTTAGTCTTTAGATTTGGGAATTGAATTTTAGTTTAGGCAATTTTAAATTTAGGGTAATGGAGATTGGGTTTGGGTCACTCAAATTCCCCTTAATTGGGCTAGATTGATATTGGGTTTTGCTTCACTATCAATAGAGTTAGTATTATTAGAGTAACAGACTAGTCATTAGTGTAATTAAATTCAATTTTTCGGTTAAATCGAATTTAATTTGTTAAAAACTAAAAAAATCGAAATATTGAATTTTCAAACTGAAACCGACCGAATAAATTAAAAAACTGAAACCAAAATTAAAAAAAGTTCGATTCGATCGATTTTTTCGATTTGAATCGGATTGTGCCCAGCCCTAGTTCCAATACGAATACAGACATGAGATGTGAAACCCCTTAAAGTAACAAAAATGTTTAGAAGAAAGTACAAATAACACACATAAAAATGATAAAACGAACTATATTTTATACGTTTTGGTTATGTACTACTTAGACCTATAGATACAACATAAGGAAGCTTCAATGTGGATCCGCCCCTAGTCCTAGTCGTAATAGAGATTACTTATAACTATCATCAACTCCTCCATAAAACCTTTCTATACCCTTGAACATTTATATACGATCTAACCAAAATTGAAGTACTCGTCATTATGAACCCTTGACTTAGTCAGTTTGATGTATACATTGGCTATAATTAAATATATCATCAAATATGATTAATTAATGGGATTCGAAATTCAAACCAAAAAGGTTAAAGCTTCCTTTTTGAAAACTGATGTCTTGAATAAGATTTTATTATTTTAATAATATGTTGAAGAACAGGGAAATAAAATTTAATGACATTATAACAATTTATGTAAGCAAGAGCATTTAAAATAACATTTGAAATGAGTAGAAGAAGAAGAATTTGCTTTTATTTTCCTTCTAGAAAAGGAGTTACATATGACCCAAAAGATATTTAACAAGATGTTAATTTGCTTATACATATTAAATATATTGGAAAAAATATATTAAAACGATAAAGGTTGAGTTAATTTACTAAGGAAAATATCACAACAAAGTTTAGATTAAAGAGTTCACTGATGTAATAAATTCAAATTCTTGAAAGCTAGTCTAGTAGCTAATATATAGTAATTACTATAAGAACCAATGATGTCAAATTAAACATTATGAAAGGATGAAGCATGAACATTTATAAAAAAAAAAGGATATGAAATAAAAAATAAAGTACATGAAAATAAATTTGGAAAAGGGAGAATTTTAGTAATTGGCTACGTGAACTTGCACCTTCTTGGAAAAGTAAAGTACATTATAATTCCCTCTCTATTTCCCCATCTCTATCCTTCATAAAGTATGTGCTCAAACCTCACTCAATAGACTGAATTCTCCAATTATATCTATAAGTGACTTTTAGTATTACATGCGATTTTAGGACATTGATCAGAGAAAAATATCAAAAATGTGAAGCTTTGTTTCGAGATCAATTAGACAATCTCGTAGATGAACACTTATGACATGCAAACTTTATATATTGTTTCAAAATAACTGGATAGTCTTGTAGATGAACAAGTATGACATTCAATGTGAAGCTTCGTTTCGAGATCAATTGGATAATCTTATAGATGATCAATTATGGCATGCAAACCTTATATATTGTTTCGAGATAATTGGATAATCTTGTAGATGAACAAGTATGACATGCAAAATCTTGTAGGACATTGATCAGAGACAAATGTTAAAAATGTGAAGCTTTGTTTGTATTTTTTTTACTAACAATTTGCCATCATATTCCTGGTGAATCTTCCCAATTATTGTCGCGCTCAGAAGAACATTTTAGGTATGTTGTGGTCAGAGGCGAACCCAGGCGCAAGCCAATACCAGCAGTACCAAATGCTATCTTGGGCTTTGTATGGGTACTATTTTTTATATTTAGTTTTCGCATGTTTCTCAAGATATATATATATATATATATATATATATATTATAGAGAGAGATATTGTTCGTTCAGAATGATTTAGATGGCGAAGGCTCACGGAAAAATCCACCTTATTCATGCTCAGCACAACAACTTGCCCTGTCAATATTATGTCTATGCTAAACTTGGTGATTTATTTTCATTGCCACCTTTAAGTGTGTGTGATATAATTATTCTTATCTTAGATGAGAGGTATGTATTGTCCCCACAATTATTAAGTATTCCCAAAGACGAGACAATTGATTTTTACTACAATTTCAATTCATTTGTTTTTGTCTTTTTTTTTTCACTTATTATAATGAAGAGCAGATGTTTGCCACGAGTCTATTTTGATTCACGTGGAATGCAAACTTAAATAATTGAGATTTATTTAATTTTTTAAAAAAGTGAATAACTAAAACTTTACAAAAAATATATTTAAAAGGCTAAATAAGATGGAGGGTATTTTTGTAAACAAACAACTTTTCCTTAGAAAATATGCAATGGTTATTAGTTTTAGTACAACAAACCAAACCGTTAATAAAAAACAATCTTAGGATATCTAATCTCACTATAAGTTATCCCAAGATAACTAATCCCATCATAGCTAATTCCATCACAACTTGTATTCAAACCAAACGATCCCTAACTCTCTTCTCCTTTGTTAGGACTTCACTTCTACTATGACTCATTTGTTTCTGTTATCTTCGTTGACCTAGTCTTGTTTTATTGTAATTGTGGATATTTAATGGATCTACACATTCTTTCAGGTTCTAATGCCTAATAGGGTGATTCTTCTTCGTGGAAATCATGAATCCAAGTACTGCACTTCTGTTTATGGATTTGAAAAAGAAGTCTTAATCAAATATGCAGATAAAGGAAAACACGTCTACCAGAAGTGTTTAGGATGTTTCAAAGAGCTTCCTCTTGCCTCCATCATTGGTGGTAATGTCTATACGGCACATGGTGGCATATTCCGCAATATTTCTGGCATGCAATTCAAAAGAGCAAAAGGAAAAGGAAAGAAGAAGCGCAAGATAGTTTTGAATCCTAACGTAGACAACTTTTCTCTTGGCTCTTTGGAGGAATTATTGGAAGCTAACAGATTTGTCCTCGATCCTCCATGGGAAGGTGCAAATCTAATACCGAGTGATGTCATGTGGTCAGACCCATCAGAGAAGCCTGGACTATCCGCGAATGATGAAAGAGGAATTGGTCTCCTATGGGGTCGCGATTGTACAGAAGAATTTCTTCAAAAGTCTAAGTTAAAGGTATTGTTTTTCTTTCTTTGTCAATGTTCTTTTCTTTGTATATACGACATGCTTTCCTTGAAGTGAGCACTGCTCTCTATCTAGTCACGTTATTAACAATTTTAACCAATTACAAGGGCTTAAGTTTGACATGGCTACACTGGAAATCTAAGAAAATCATGCTATTCTCCTGTACTCATTCAAGTGATAGTAGGGCACATCAATAACTGAAATTCTTTACTGTTTAGAGCAATCATATCTAATTTAGCTGAAAAACCAGAATATTTCCGAGAGAGGAGAGAGATGCGTATTTTTCAGTTACATTATTCATGTTGCTTCAGTTTTTGGCAGTTATGTCAGCTTGTCATCTTCTTTTGTAACTCTTATCTACGAGGAAAATACTCTCATTTTGGTCTTTAATTGTTGCTACCTCAGTTGATTATAAGGTCACATGAAGGTCCAGATGCTAGGGAAAAGCGACCTGAACTTGGAAAAATGGACAAAGGGTACACTATAGACCATGAAGTCACCTCGGGGAAATTGATAACACTATTTAGTGCTCCAGACTATCCACAGTTTCAGGTAACTTCAATTTTACCATTCACTATCTTTCTACTTGAAAACTCGTGTATGTTGTCCATCTTTCCTTTATGGACAACACAAAATCTAATAGGAGAGGAATCCCAGACTATACATATGTACTAGGGGAATCACATCCTAGTAAAAGATTATATACACAGAACACTAAGGTACATTGAAGCTAAAATAGAGATATGAAATATTGTCATGGCCATGAGGGTGAGCACTTAATCACTAGGGCTATTGTCCAATGATTAGTCCTATTGGAAGAACTCCAAGTTTGAATCTGCAAAAGAGGCTTGAAGAAGTCATGATTGTGAGCTTCAGTGCTACCGTAAGAAATCAGTAAGTATGACTTGCAAGATTTTTTGTACTCACCATAGATGCATAAATAACTTCACTCTTCACAAGTATATCTTTCATATGCAACTTATTGGCCAGATAATTTCTGGATTGGTGAGTGAATGGTTTCCAATTAAAAAAGTCAGAAAATTAATATTGAAAAGGGAACTCTACTCCTCGACTATGGGTTCCTAAGCTTACTTCTCAAAAGCGTTCACCACCTCGACAATGAGCCATGGTGTCTCACTCCTGTTAACTTTAGGTAACTCGTTCATTAACCATTTCCATTGAGGAGTGTATTTACCTAGAAAAAAAAGACATAAAGAGAAACAATTATAGCACAACGAAACTTACAACTTTTTAAACAAATGCTAACTTCTTACCAAAAGCTGGGTAAGAAGACATGACGATAATATAGGCTGAATCTCTCTTTATAGAGCACCAAAGCGGAGAAGTACTTTGTGATTCTCTGTAAGGCGTAGAAAATCGATGCTTGTAAGGTACGAAAGGTTTAGATTCACTCTGCAAGAAAATGACTATGCTGAATAGGAATAACTATAGCACTATCAAGTTACTACGTACCAGGAGCAACAATGTAAAGATAAGCTAGCTGTCATTGTTGAAAACCGTCATCTTCCAGAATAGTTACGAATAGGATGCTTACAATTTCAGGAACAAAATCAAGTTCATGATTTCCGGCAGTCCAAATCCAAGGTTGATATGCTGCACTTCTCTCGATAAATCTCCCCCATGTATCCCATCGTATGCTGTTATGGAACGGATAATTATCAGCATAAGAGGTCTCCAACGAAGAGTGATGTCTGGCCTATTAGAGGGATCAACTCGTAATGAGTCAGTGTGCTATATGAGTCGTATGTCTGACCAAAATCCCCTGTTCAATAAACAGAACGAGTAGAAAAAGTCTATAACTAATGTAATTAGTCCAAGCTACATGCTCTTAAAGAAAGATATATAAACATCATTGTCTTGAGGGCCTTAAGACCGGAAAAAAAAAGTGAGCAGTACTTTAGACATTAGTCAGGTGGTGAAGCCGCTGTGAATCTTTTTGTTAGAAAAGAACCTAAAGTATGACCTAATCAACATTAGTCTAAGAAGAAGCGGTAAGAAGCTCGTTTAGGGAAGTTGTGAAGAAAGCTTGAAGTGAAATACACATAATTTGATTTATTATTATGATTGGATGGTGTCCATCTTTATGCAAAAATGTCCTAGTTCTATTAAGGGGACAGGCGAAGAGCCTGGGCTGCTTTTCTAACATATGTCAATTTCAAGGCACAATCTAATTAATGACGTATTAGTTAACTGCTTGTTTGATGGTGCCGCTTGTGTGTCGCCAAACCATCTTATTTGATACAAACATAAGTTTGTTTACTCTGCTGAAAAAGTTACTTGATCAGGTTCGATAAAAACCTTTTGTGACTTGGTTATGAACAGTAACTTCCTTGCCTGTTTCGGGAAGTAGTTTGTGAGTTCTGTGAAGAGTAGATACCTAATTCATCTTTCACACTTCAGCCTTGCAACGGGAAATCCATGGCCAAATTTTGGTGTTAATACAATTGATTATCATTTCTTGGAGTACAAAGAAATGTACAACAATTATACGCAAGTTACTTGCCTAAGCTTCTACTAAATACACTAGATTTATGCATGAAGTCTCCTTCAACGGCTAACTGGTAGAATATTTTCAGCTAGCGAATAAAGCTTAGTTTCTTGTTTTCTGTTTCGCATTAACTAGAATTGTCAAATCACTCCGGAAACTGTTGGTTGAATTGCTTTGCAAGGTTTTGACTAGCAATGGGTCTTCTTCAATACGATAGGAATAGCTATTAGCTAGCCATCATATGATTTTTTCTTCTTTGATCTTACGCATGCAAAATGTTTAAAATAATAGGAGTATCTCTTTTTGTTTCATTACTGAACTGAAAAAAAAACTAATCTCACTTTCTGCTTTAACTACAGGCAACAGAGGATAGGTACCGAAATAAAGGAGCATACATTGTGTTGGAACCTCCTAATTTTGACACTCCTAATTTTCATAGTTTTGAAGCGGTTACTCCAAGACCAAAGGTGATAGCACATTGTCCTGTATTTTTATTTTAGTGACTAAATGTTTATAGTTGTTGAAATTGATAATAATATCGAATAAATTATTGTGACAGGTGAATCCTTACTACGACTATGAAAATGTCATTGACTCTGACGAGGAACTAGATTTGGAATCTATGGAGAAACTAGACTAGTCATCCATGTATTGTTATTCATTGTTCATTTTGATGTTGGAGAGCAGAAAAAGTTGTAAATATGGGAATCATTTCTCTACAATGTCTTGAAAAACTTAGAAATGAAAACTAGTAATTCTTTTGATGGTTCAGATTTTTCTTTTGTCTCTCTGGTTTATATGATACCAAGTGCACTTTGTTTTTGTTGGTTACTTCTTGGTGCTCTCTTAATAGTTATATCACTTGTTTTTCCTATTATCTTACAAAATTAGTAATGCCAGGAAAGCTGAAAGCTCTTTCCCTCACCAGAAACTATCTTACTAATATAATTCAATGGTGTATACACAATATATAATTAATATGTTTGTTCATAATGTAGTACATTGATGATAAGTTAGGTCCTCTAGAGAGATTAGTGTTGTTTACTCAAAGGAAATTCATTCAGTGAGTTGGTGCATCTTGAATACATGTGAACCACACTAGTTACATCCAAATGCATTTTGAAATACAAATACATATATAGGGAGAAAGGTGTGCGAGATAGGAGAGAAGCGGGTGAGATAGTTAGTATATCTCAGATACATATGAATCACGCTTGGATACAAGTTAGTGTGGAGATGGACTCTTACATGTGTATGCGTAAGTTTAATTATTCATTTAAAAAACAATAGGGGATAATTGTTTAAATACTAATTAATTTTTAGACGAACGCGATTTATCAAAGCTTCATAAAGAGGATTTGTTGAACATGTTTTATGTAGAAAAGGTAAATCGCATTTAGTGCATGCGTTTTATGTAGAACTGATGAATCGCATTTTATGAAGCTTTTACTCAAATGCCTACTTTCAAATCAATACCATATGCATTACAACATTATTTGTTGATTAACTTGATTTTCCCCCCATAATTGGAGTAGTTGATGAACAGTGGTGGAACCACGATATTCTCGAAGAGGGTTCGAAGTATAAAGAAATAAACACGTGAGATGGGAAAGAAAAATATTAATCTTAACTTGCTAAATTTAACTTGTCTTGTTATGCCGCGTTTAGGTTTTTCTTACGTTTTACCTTGATCCATCGAGTTTTTTTTTTAATTCTTGTGCTTTTTTTTCTTTAAGTTTCACAATGTTTTATTTTATTTTGATTTTTTTATTTAAAAAAAATACTGAATTAGTGGCCTTTCAATCATATGTTACTATAAAAATCACCAAGATCTTTTAAAAGGGGTAAAAATTGACATATTCAGAAAATAAATAAATGACATCAATTATTTTTTTAGTTCATTTAATTCAATTTACTAGGTTAGTCATTTGTAAAAAACAATGATCAATAAATCAAATAAGATTAGTTTAATTTTCATCTCCTTAGAATAAAATTGAAAAAAAATACAATGAAATTAAAAGAAAAGAAAATTAATTAAATAGATTTTAGTTAAAAAAATATTCACAATTTTTATATTTCTTCGTTCGGTTAAATTTAATTTATTTTATTTTATATTAATATTTTTTTAACTCAATTTAAAATTTAATTAAAATTCATCATTTCTTCAACTTAGTAGATAGAAAGAGAACTATGTAGAAACAAAATGAAAAATATAAATAAGAAGAATAAAAGAAAAATTACAAAAGAATGTGGCTAATAAATTTAAACAAAGACAAATTAAAAAAATAAAGAAAATAATGAAAAATAAAAAGGATAAAGCTTCACATTGAACCAATGAGGCCTTTTCATTTGTTTGAGAATCTGGGCCCAAAACTTTTCAGCCTTTCCGGCGGAACTTGAACCCCTTCTACATTTGGCCATCCTTCTCTTTAATGTTGAGAGGGTTCATTTTAATTAATATACTCATAAAATTAGAATTTGATCTTACATATATAGTGTAATTTTTCGATGAAAAGGGTTCAAGTGAACCCCTAGGTTCCATGTTATTTTTTTAAGAATCCAAGTTCCTACATGATCAAAACCAGCAATTCACACAAGCCAATAAAATTCCCGAAGAGACCTTTGGGATTCCATTGGAATCTTCATTACACAAACCAAATATGCAACATGACTAAACTTGGCGTTTAGGAATCAATGGAACCATCCAAATATGAACTCGAGGTCTTCTTGACCTGAAATCCGTGAAAGTCGCAATGACCAATCCTGACGGCTAAAACGGTTAAACCAAGCTCGGAACCTCTGAAACCAAGACCTCCCCTAAGCCTAAAATCCCCCGAATCCTACAAAACTGTCGGAAATTTGATTCGAGCATCCAAACTCCGAATGTTGACCAAAGTCAATCCAAAGGCTAAAATTTCACCAGTTTCCAACTTAGGACCTCAAATCCACATAAAGACTTCAAATCTGAAACCGACAACTTTGTTAGTCCAATTTTCATATTTGGGGACTAATGGGATCGACATAATTCTATTGTGAGACTCAAAACTCTAAAAGACACCAAAGTCCACTTTTTAACAACTTTAGCCTTTCAAACTCTAAAATTTTCACAATTCACAACTTTATACTCAAAACTCGAATCCAAATTTCAAAATCCAATTAGAAATAACTCGGGATCAATATCAGGAGGGGTAAAATGGTTATTTTACAAAAAATTCAAAAAATGACCTTCTGGGTCATTTCAAAGTCCGTGTATCCTGACTACATGTGAACCACACTAGTTACATCTAGATACATTCTGAAATACAACTACATATAAATAGAGAAAGGTGCGCGAGATAGGAGAGAAGCGAGTGAGATAGTCAGTATATCTCAGATACATGTGAATCACGCTTGGATACAATGTATATGAAATAATTAGTTACTTTTAATTATTTCACTCTAGTGAGATTTGAGTTGTTTGCCCAAAGGAAATTCATTCACCAAATTAAAAGGGTCGGTCCATACTACCAATTGTGCTTCGATTGGTTCATGACAAACGAGAAACAAAAGAGTCCAGTGGTTCTTATTATCAAACAAGAACACATTAACGTGATATATCCAAATATTTCCATATATTAAGAGCTAGAAGGATAACTTAATTTAAAAGAACTTTTCAAGTAACAGTATTCATTGGTATATTATATACTTTATAACTCTTTCATATGATCCATTCAATTAATTAGATATTGAATAAATGATCAAGTTTTAATTCTGATTTAATTTTTCTTTGCTAAACAACTGACAAATGGTTCACTTCTAGTGGTTTTAGGTAACTATCTAGGATTGAAGCCAAATGGCCAATATGATAGGTTTGTTAAGTTTAACTTGAAAAACTTGTATACATGTGATATTTGGATTTTCTTTTAACACTTAAATATACCAAAAAGATCTATCAACACAAAAATCCATTTATTAGCTTTTATATAGAAGTACATTTAAAAGTATATCTTGCAATAGATATTTATATCTAGTGGATAGAATTGACATCACCTTTAGATAAAGATTGATGTATACACTTTATATATATGGAAAATTATTGAAGCCTTTCCTAAATAACCATATCATATATATAATTAATAACGAGTCTGCAGAATAATATCTTGATATTTGTAAGGAAAATTTAAATTGAATAATGATGGTAATGTGGAAACACAACAAACTATAAAATACTAAATTTAGGAAAAGAAAACGGGGATATGAACTAGAAGTGGCAATATTTATTGTCGTAAAAAGATTTAACAATAATTGAGTTAATATCATAATATTCAGTTACAAAAGTCATTAATTATATTTATTACCGTTAAATATAATATAACGATAACTATTTTATTACCGCTAAATAATTGTTGTTAAACCCTATCTTTGTTGTAGTGATATATCAGAAGAGGACATGTAATCTACATAGGCGGAGCCAAGATTAGAAATTTAGGGTTCTACATTTTTGGATCCGCCTCTAATCCACTATCTTAGGGCAATTATTGACAATTATAGATACTTATTGAAAACCAACAAAATAAATATTAAACACATGTAAAAGAGACAAATAAATATGCAACATTTTGGCAAATGAACGTCATAAACACCAAAAGAATTTGGTGTTTATCCTTGCAAGCAGAAGCTTCGACGAAACCTTTTTAAATTCCAAAGATAACATAAATAAATAAACAAACAAACAATAAGTTAGTAACAAATTATTAATAAATAAATAAATGGAGTCTTTTTGGGTGTCCAAATTAATGAAAAATGAATAGTGATAGACTGAGGCCATTAAGGCAATTCCAAGAGAAAAAATAAACTACAATAATTTTTGTCATAATAACTTTTGGGTGTACGTAATTAATTAAACATATTTTCAACTTCATGTAACTTATAATTTTGAAGGATTTAACTATATATATATATATTGATAATGCATAGTGCAAAGAATTTATTTACGCGTTGTTAGACTTTTAATATGTGTAGCTTGTGATTTGACTTTTTTTAAGATTATTAATTTAATTTATTATGAAGAGTTAACTGAAAGCATATAATATAATTATCATTTAAGTGACTTGATAAATATATAGAAATATAACCATTAATATTTTTGGAAGTTAACCACATTATTTTCACCATCTCACATTAATTGTCATGATTCCTTTTGAAAGTCTCTTTAGTATTTTATAAAAGATACGATACTTTTTTCTGAGTTTAAGCCATATACACATGATAATTGATATAAAATATATCTACGTACATCAATTATCAGATGAATAATTAACAATCTTTACTAATATAGATTGTCGTGCTGCTCCACCATTAATTAGAAATTTATGTTGAAAGCATTATCCTCTGAATTGACTCTACAGTGTGCAATCCAGATTTAGTCGAGATTCTAATGTGGACTTCGTACGTCGAATACGGGAAAAAAACAATCTTTTATAAGCACTGATTGGTATCTATCAAAAACTAATAACTACTTTTTGGTTATGATCATAGGTTAAAATTCAATATTAAATATATGAAGGAAATGTTGTTCAATAAACCAAAAGCATTGTTACGTACTAAAATACAGTGAATCAAACGAATTTACATAATTAAATTCAAGAAATCTTAAACATATTGAAATATTACATACACTACTCAATACATAAATGAAAATAATAAAAAGGTACAAACCACAAAATCAAGTTAGGACACTAAGAAAAAATCATGCAGGCCATATAAAGATGACAAAAATAAATAAATAAAATCTCATATAAAGCCGGCTATTTTCTTAATTAATTGACAGCACAACATGTTCTTCCAAAAATCGAAACTTCCTTAATTTCCCTCTTAAAAATTATCATCATTTTTAATCATAAAAAAATGTAAAAATAATAAATTAATAAAATTCTTTTTTTAATTCATAAAATCTTAGATTAATTCCCTTTAAAAAGCCCCATTATATCCATTGGAAGACTTAGTCATTTCTTTTGAAAGAGTCTTTGTTTTAAAAAAAATATTACAAAGTTTTAATGGGGAAATTATCACAGCAAAATCAGATTAGGAATAATTCAAGTACTAATAATGGAAATAATATTATTGGTTCAATTGTTAAAGTGAAAAGAACTAGAAAAACTGTGCCAAGAGACTCTCCACCTCAACGTAGCTCCATTTATCGAGGAGTCACAAGGTTTAATTTATTTTCTAAAATTATATTATTTCATGTCGATTCTTATTTTGTATCTTCATGTTGTATATGTTCAAGTATGTAGTCGTTGAGACTTGAATTCACGACCTTTTGCATGCACTAATATCATAATGTTGGAACGTGTCATAACTCAGACATTCATACACGGTATCAAAACAGACAAACAAAGGTTCTCAATTTAAATCTCAATATCACACGTTATTTTATATCTTTATGTTGTATATGTTCTTATTTTGTTCTTTAAATTGTTGATGTTTTGTTCTTTAAATTGTTGATGTTTTGTTCTTTAAATTGTTGATGTTTTGTTCTTTAAATTGTTGATGTTTTGTTCTTTAAATTGTTGATGTTTTGTTCTTTAAATTGTTGATGTTTTGTTCTTTAAATTGTTGATGTTTTGTTCTTTAAATTGTTGATGTTTTGTTCTTTAAATTGTTGATGTTTTGTTCTTTAAATTGTTGATGTTTTGTTCTTTAAATTGTTGATGTTTTGTTCTTTAAATTGTTGATGTTTTGTTCTTTAAATTGTTGATGTTTTGTTCTTTAAATTGTTGATGTTTTGTTCTTTAAATTGTTGATGTTTTGTTCTTTAAATTGTTGATGTTTTGTTCTTTAAATTGTTGATGTTTTGTTCTTTAAATTGTTGATGTTTTGTTCTTTAAATTGTTGATGTTTTGTTCTTTAAATTGTTGATGTTTTGTTCTTTAAATTGTTGATGTTTTGTTCTTTAAATTGTTGATGTTTTGTTCTTTAAATTGTTGATGTTTTGTTCTTTAAATTGTTGATGTTTTGTTCTTTAAATTGTTGATGTTTTGTTCTTTAAATTGTTGATGTTTTGTTCTTTAAATTGTTGATGTTTTGTTCTTTAAATTGTTGATGTTTTGTTCTTTAAATTGTTGATGTTTTGTTCTTTAAATTGTTGATGTTTTGTTCTTTAAATTGTTGATGTTTTGTTCTTTAAATTGTTGATGTTTTGTTCTTTAAATTGTTGATGTTTTGTTCTTTAAATTGTTGATGTTTTGTTCTTTAAATTGTTGATGTTTTGTTCTTTAAATTGTTGATGTTTTGTTCTTTAAATTGTTGATGTTTTGTTCTTTAAATTGTTGATGTTTTGTTCTTTAAATTGTTGATGTTTTGTTCTTTAAATTGTTGATGTTTTGTTCAAGTATGTGGTCATTATGTTTGCACTAATATCATCATGTTGAAATATGTCATGACTCACGTACATTCGGTATCAAAGCAGATAAATGTACTCAGTTTAAATCTCACTGTCATACATTATTTTGTATCTTCATGTTGTATATGTTCTTGATTTTCTTCTTTAAGTTGTTGATGTTTTTGTTCAAGTATATATATGGTCGTTGAGACTTGACATAATTCACGACCTTCTGTGTTTGCACTAATATCATGTTAGAAATGTGTCATGACTCACACATTCAAATATGATATCAAAGCAAATAAATGTTCCGAGTTCAAATCTCATTGTCACACATTATTTTGTACTGGTATATATATGTTCTTGATTTTGTTCTTTAAATTCTTGATGTTTTTGTTCAAGTATGTGGTCATTGAGACTTGATCAATTCACGACCTTTAGTCTGTACTAATATCATAATGTTGAAATGTGTTATGATTCACACATTCAAATATATATGATGCTAAAGCAGAGAGATAAACGTCCTGAGTTCAAATCTCATTGCCACAGATTATACAAGAAAGATTTTCACGTGCTAAATCATGAAAAATAACTATTGGTTGCACGTACATGAGGAGTCGTATTGAAAATATTATTAAATAATAATTTAAATTTTTAGATGAGATTATCGCACACTTTAACAGTTATTTATTCAGGCATCGATGGACGGGTAGGTATGAAGCTCATTTATGGGATAAGAATTGCTGGAATGAATCTCAGAACAAGAAAGGAAGACAAGGTTCATAATTTAAATTTTTTTCTCCCACCATTTTATTTTTCAATTTAATTAATTCTCTAAGCTGCTAAACTAATTGACTTTTTTTTTTGTGAAATGGTGGACTCTAATGGAAATAATGCAGTTTATCTTGGTATGTATCATTATTTAAATTTTCTTGATTTTATATTTATTTGGTAAGTGAATAATAAATTTAATTAAAATTATTATTTTTAGGTGCTTATGATGATGAAGGAACAGCTGCTCATGCTTATGATTTGGCTGCACTTAAATACTGGGGAAGTGAAACCATTCTTAATTTTCCGGTAATTAATAACTCATCTTAATTAAATTCTTTTTTTTATTTTATAAAACAGTCATTCACAAACTAATATATAAAAAAATTCGAAGATAATTGAAATTGTTATATATTTCAACATGATACTAGATCAGATATATGTCACGACTCACGAGTTTGAGTCTCACTATCATTTATTATTTAAAAGAATTTTCACGTACTTGACTTATACTTGACTTATGAAGAATCAAATTTGCACGTGAGAAAAAATCAAATATTTGGATCAACAATATAATAAGCAAACATTTTTGATTGTGTAAAAATATTTATCAAGTAAATCTTTAAAATTATGTAATTCTCTAATAACATAAGATTTTATATGAAATAATCGATCATATATTTTGAATATTGATATTATCTTATCCTTTTAGGTATCAACTTATGAAAAGGAAATCATAGCAATGGAGAATCAGTCTAGAGAAGAATATATTGGATCATTGAGAAGGTAACTTAATTAACTTGAGTACTAAATTAATGTTATTTTATTTTCACTTAGAGGGGAAAAAAAGTTTTTTAATTATTTGTTTGATTAATCAATTGATATAATATATAGGAAAAGTAGTGGATTCTCAAGAGGAGTTTCAAAATATCGCGGAGTTGCAAGGTATCAAATATAATTAACGATATTTTGTAATATTATTGTTTTGATTTGTTCCAACTGAGCATTTTATTCATCGATCGATCGCAGACATCACCATAATGGAAGATGGGAAGCTCGAATAGGCAGAGTTTTTGGCAATAAGTATCTTTATCTTGGAACATATGGTAAGTACCTTTTTATAAACATGTATATTAATTACCTAATCATACTCATTTCAAAGCTAGTGTAAAAAAATATTACTATTTTAATTTATGACATTAAAGATATATTTTTATTTAATTAATTATTTTTTAAGGATCATAATCTATCAACCTGATTCTTTTTCATAGGCTAATTAAACAGGTGAAAATTAAATATATATTTTTTTGATAATTTTTTTTTTTTTAGCTACACAAGAAGAGGCTGCAACTGCATATGACATGGCAGCTATTGAATATCGTGGACTAAATGCTGTGACCAATTTTGACCTTAGTCGTTACATCAAATGGCTAAAACCTAATAAGAACAATCAATCAAACCCTAATGTTGAAACTAACATGATTTCAACTCCAAATCATACGACCACAATCACAACCACGACAACGACCTCATCCTCTATGGGTCTTGTTTATCCCGATCTACAACTTACTACAAACACACCTATTTCTGATGTTTCAACATCTCAAAGTCGACCATCTTCTGCTACGTCAGCTCTCGGACTATTGCTCCAATCTACGAAGTTCAAGGAAATGATGGAAATGACGTTAGCTGTCGAGTGCCCGCCTGCACCGATCGAATTACCCGACCCGGACCCACCACAAAGTAGTAGCTTCCCTGAGGATATAAAAACTTATTTTGATTCTCAAGAATTTGGTAATTTTGGTCATGACCAAGGAGAGGATTTGGTCTTTAATGAGATCAATTCCTTAATGCAACCCCTTTTGCAATTTGATTATGATGCTTGATTAGTCAAATATAAATTGATATAGTTTCAATTTTTTTTTATTTTTTATATATATATATGGTTGAGGAAATAATGGGAAATTCTTATCTAGGAAGTGTTTACTAGCTTTAGAGACACTTCCTATATAAGTATTTTCCAAATGTGATTTAGGTATAACAAAAAATCAGGAGAATATGTATTGATTATTGGAGAATATTATTTGTAGATAGATGAAATAATTTGCTTAATTCTCATCAACAATAATATTTAAGTTCTTTATTACGATCATTTGAAATAATAAATATTTATAGTTTTTTTTTCTCATGTTTTGTTTTATGTAAGTTGATTATCGTAAGTCATTTTCTCTTTAATTAAATTAAAGTTGTGTGGTTTTGGAGGAGTTTGAAATTGACTCATATCATGTGTACTAGATGGTAGGTGCTCGTGGGTGTACTGATTCAATATTTATTTATTTGTATTTTGTATTAAATTGTGTTAGAATGGAAATTTGAAAGTTGTGAAAACGTATTTATTGGTTAGTAATAACATGTTATTGATTTTTTTTACTTATTTTCTTAAAATTTCATATCAAATCAAAATTCGGTAAATGAGTGAAACGAATGGAGTACTACCGATAGAAAAAAGCAATTCTTTTTCATTAGAAAGAAAGAAATAACTTTTCATCTCAAAAATAATTTCAAATATATTAACAACTCTACATTTATAAAAACTAAAAGAATAAACTTTAAATAAAAAATAAAAATTTTAAGGTCTCCAATTTATTTTCGACTTTAGACCACTAATATGCTTGAGTCATCCTGTATATAGTAATAGCCGAAACATGAAAACCTTGAGTGATTCCCTTTTAAATAGAAACAATTTCATATTCTATAAGAACTTATCCGTATATAGTCCTCTTTTTCTTAAAAATTCCATAACAATCAAAATCCCACAAACGATTAAAACGAATGAAATACTATTATTAGAAAAAAGAAAACCTTTTTATTAAAAATAAAAAAATAACTTTACATCTCAAAAATATTTCAAATATATTAATAATTCCACAATTAAAAACTAAAATGCAACAGTTCGGACCGGTACTAGCTTGTACCCTGTAATTAGCTAACTTGTTCCGGTAAAAGTACGGTAGAATCCATATTTATAATTTGCCTAAATTAATCTTTTCCTTTCTAATCCAAATTACAAAATAAAGTGGGATTATCAAAATTAATCTTTTCCATATTAAATTCTATTTCTCTAATCCAAATCATACATTACGTAGGATAACCAAAACATTCCTATAAATACACTCAATTTTCTCTGATTCTTTATTTCACAAACCCTAAAATTTAGCATTGAAAATTTATACTATAGTCTTTCTCTACTTATTTATTTTTTGAATTGTTATGGCTTTATCAAATTATGAATATGATCGTCAATGGAAGAATATATTACCAATAGGCTTCCATTTTGTGCCAACGGATGAAGAATTGGATATGTATTTGAAACTTAAAGGTTCTAATGGTTATATTCCACCTGGAATTTTTACTGATCTTGATATTTATGAATATGAACCTCATCAACTATCTGGTACACATTCTTATCCTTAGCTAGCATTTTTTTTTAGTTAAAAAAAAATTCCTCCTGATTTATGGATTTTTTTTTAAAAAATCTTGATGAATTTGTTGGGTATTTGTCCTGAGTTTCTTACCATAAATGTAAAGTCTTTATATTTGGTTAGTCTGTATTCCTTCTAATTTAATCGGCATTCACAATCCCAGAGACTTTGTGAGTTTAATTTGTGGGATATCACTAGCTTATACCAGCTGCACAAGGACACTTCTATGTTATTTATGGGTGCACTGTTAATTGTATCTTACTTTCTGCTAGTTTCTTAAGATAGATATACATATATAATACACATGATTTTTTTTTAAAGTTAATAGGTGCATGTGCACCCTCACCAACCATGTGGATCCGCTTCTGACTTGTGTGAACCTCTTTGTATTCCAAATTTAACGTTTTTATCACGATTTTATTGATTAAGAATATTATACTAATTTGAGTTTATTTTGCTTGCTAGGGTTTGCTGAAAAACTTTGGAATGGACGTATGTATTTCTTTACTTTATCAAAAAAGAAGTTTGGTAATGGAAATAAAATTGCAAGAAATTTACATTCAGGAAAAGGTTATTGGAAATCTACACAAGCACGTAAAGATATAGCAAAAACCAATAATACAATTGGAACAAAAACTCCTCTTGCCTACTTTAAATCAAGTCCAAATAATTCAAAAGGCAAAAAAACTTCTTGGCTTATGTCAGAGTATAGATTTCCTACCAATTCTCCACTACTAAACAATGAGGTATGTAAACTTTTTATTTAATTTCCTTCTTATTTTTCAAGTATATTCTATGATTATATTTGACTAACATTTTTTTATTTTTTTTTATTTTTGTAGTCAGATTATGAGTTAACACTTTGTGTGATATACTATCAAAATAGAAAGAAGAATGACAATGACAATGACGATGACAACGACAATGACAATGATAATGATAACGATAATAACGATGATCAAAATTTTAATAATTCATCGTGGTCAGATGAACATTCTTCTTCGTTGCAACAATATCAACCACTCATAAATATTACTGACATTGCTTCCACTTCAACAATGCAACCAAGTTTTTCTCATCAACTACCCTATGGTAGTATGAACAATTTTGATAATAATTATTCAAATGGACAAAATCATGATTTTCATGGATATGATCCAAATATATATCCATATCTCAATTATGACAACTTTACTTATATAGGAGATGAGAAAATAGGTGATATTTCAAATAGTAATCTTGTTGATTCTATTGATCAAAATACATTGGAAATATGTGTGGCTCCAGTTTCTCAAGATGATCAAAGACCATCAACTGATAACCAAGATTATGATCATCAACAACTGAAGATGAAGAAGATCAAAAGATAGAAATTTAGACATAGGTTATGATAAAGTTTTACACATATATATAATGTATTGACTTATTTGAAAGAATAATGTATACTATTTGTGTTTATGCACATGTACATTTAAATTTTAATATGAAATAGCTTATATGGTAGTGCTAAGTACTATTGTTATCCACACTCTCAAGTAACTAGCTTTTGTTTTCATGTATATTTGCATGTACACAATTAAGGGGTAAGGTCACAAAAATGTTTTCTTACGTATTTTTAAATTTGGAAAGCGATTGATTATCTTTATCTTGGGGCGGCTCAAGCATATCAGAGGCCTAAAGCCAAAAATTGATATATTGGAGCCCTTAAACTTTTTTTTTTTTATCTATTTGAAGTCTATTCTTCTAGTTTTTTTTTTAAGAGAGTTGTTAGTATATTTGAAATTATTTTTGAGATACAAAGTTATTTATTTCTTCTTAATGAAAATATTTACTTTTTTTTTCTATAACTAGTACTCCATTCGATTCTACCATTTGTGAGATTTTGACTTGACACGAAATTTTAAAAGTAAATAAGATTTTCGAATATTATAGTTTAAAACTAAAGATATCTATAATACACCAAAATATTCTTTAATCTTGTGATCTTAAACATGTAAGAAGAACGAAACTAATGAAAAATATATAGTATCAATTGTTAATGCAACCAAGATATATTCTAAATTAATTGATATGAAGTAGCACACAAAGACAAAACTTGAAAACAAGAATATTGGAATCTTAGAAAATTGAATGCAAGTGCTTTTAGATTTCTTTCTTTGCTTTGCATGAAAGTTTCTTAAGACTTAAGTTAACCCACAAATTCCTCCATATTTCTCATTATAACATCCCATTCAATCCATATTATTTTTGCCATCCAATTGCATAAATTAAGTTAACAAATTAAAGAAATACTTATTAATTAATTATTATGGCTGATGATGAACAGAGGAAGCCAACTACCAGAAGAACACCTCTTAGCCAAATAGATGAGGTATGTATTATACTTTTTTATACTCTAATCTTGTGTTTAAAATTTAATTCTTGTTGTATGGTGTGACAGAGCCAAGATTTTTACTTAGGAGAATCAAAATATAATTTAGGTAAAAGACTGAAATATATCATCGAACTTTGAGAAAATACTCATCTGTGTCATCCATTAAAAGTTTGGATCACCATTCATCTATGTCATTATTTGTTAATTGAAATGACATAGATGAGCCAAACTTTTAATGGATGACATAGATGAACCTTTTTTCAAAGTTCGATGACATATTTGAGCCTTTTTCTTTAAAAAAAATGATTTAATTAATGACGTCGTCATATCATAATTGACCACGTGTAAAAGATGATTTTGCAAAATAGAAATTGTTTTCCATTAACAAATAATGGCATGGATAAGCATTTTCTCAAACGAAAATGACATATATGAGCCAAACTTTTAAATATGTACATGTATACATAAAAAGATTATTATTTTTTGCAACTGACGAAAAAGGAATTAACAATTTGCATGGAAATTAATGAATGTGTGATTTTTCAGGATAGGGTATGTATTATGTTGTCTATGGATGAAAGTGAAAGTGAAGATGAAGAAATTACTGCCTCTGATGAAGAATTTTTAGACAGTGAGATTCAAGGTAATTAATTAACTTAATTACCTTATCCTATAAAGAAGTAATAAATGGTCTCGAGTTCAAGTCTTTGAGATATAAAATCGCCTTTGTTTGTAGATTTTGAATTAGAGTTCTACGACGATGAGTATGATGACGATAATATGGAGGAAGATGATGTAGATCCAGATGAATTATCTTATGAGGTATATAATATGATAATTTGTAATGTCTAATATGATAATTTGTAATGTTTAGTTCAAAAAATACATGAGATTACTAATTACTTAAGTATATAAATGTTGTTACAGGAATTAATTGCTTTAGGAGAATTTGTTGGAGTAGAGAACAGAGGATTAACTGAAGAAGAAATCAACAAATCCTTACATTCTTCTACATTTCAATCTAATAATTCCAAGACACTTGTCGACAAGTAAGTGGTTGAAAATTAGATATTAACCAAAAAAAAAGAGAAAAAAAATTTAAATCGTTCGATCTTTCATATAATAATTTTAGTTATTTTTTTCACGTGGTCAACATGACATATAAGACGTGATTATCACCTCTTGGCCATTAGAATTTCTTTGGTTTCCCACCTGGAGTTTGATACTGGCATTGGCGTCGATTGACTGAATAATTTATAACACATTGAAAAAGTGATTATTTTTGGATGAATATATAGGTGTGTTGTGTGTCAATTGGAATATGAAGAAGGAGAGAAGTTAGTAGCACTTCCATGTGATCATCCCTACCATTTAGATTGTATAAAAAAATGGCTTCAAATAAAGAAGGTAATTTAATTGTTAAATACTCTTAATTTATATTTTTAGCATTTTTTTTATGTTTAATAATTCTATATATTTTTCTTTTGTAGGTTTGCCCAATATGTAGTGATGAGGTCTCATCTACTAATGTTCCCAAGGAACAATAGCTCTATGTCACTTGTATTAAAAAACAAATTATTGTATTGAAATTAGTCAAAAGATTTATTGAATATGTCAAGGGAAATTTGGATCATGGATTAAATGCACAATTTTTTCAAAAAATATTGTACTAACATAATTTCTATTTGAATTGAGTGGTATGACCTTGATGTTCTCTGTTTATAGATGTAATGTTCATGTTTATCTTTGTAAATGAACTTTCACTTTGTTTAGAAAACAAATAACTTTCGTTTCTAAGTTGACTAGAAATGGATTCAGGATTTTAAATGTATGCGTTCCTACAACGATATGACATATATTTATAGATATTTTAGTAAATTGTTGGTTTCATGGGAACTTGTAGTTAACCTTCTAGATCCAATCCTAAATGCTTGCTTGAATTTCAAAGAAGATTTGGAACATATATAACAGGATGGACTTGGAAAGCTTATAAAGAAGAACAAAAGAAACTTTCTAGTTTCTACAAAAAGAAAATAGTATAGTACAAGTAGAAGGCAAAACATGCTCTCTTTTTTATGACCTTGGTGTCCGAGCCAACTTGCATGCATCGCGACTATTCCAGGGGTACCTGCTATCTCCCAACAACACAGGTACCCATCAAAACTTGAACAGGTGTGACAGAATTCACCTAGTCATGTTTTGACATCTAATGATCCTAAGTAAGTCCTTTCAATCTATAAAACAGAACAATGCTCCCTTGAATTTCAAGGAAGATTTGGGGGCATATACAATATGATGGACTATCAAAACCTAAAAAGAAAGAATAAAAAAAAACTCTCTAGAAAAATAAAATAAAATAGTACTATAGTACAAGTAAAAGGCAAAAACAGCCTTTTTCTTCTCCTTTCACATCAACCACCTCCAACTTATGTTTGATTAGACTCTTCAAAAATGGCGATTGATGTGTGTCTGATCCTCCAAAAGTAGTGCATTTTCGGAGGATCTGGCACGGCAACATAGCCTCCAATCCTATATGACTATATCCACTTACACTTTTCATTTGTCTATGTCTAGTTACATGCTGTGGTTTATCCCCTTTTTCATGAAAATTGCAAAAGGACTAAAAGGAGTCTAAGTTTCTTCAGAAAAAATATGTGGACATGATTCCCATTTACCAGTTTCTCTAGCTTCCCAATATCCTCCTCTATACTGATATGTATCACTACCTTTTGGCTTTCTAAACCACCTTGGTTTCCACCCTTTTTCCTGCATCTGTGATGCCTGCATGACATCAACTTGTTACGCGAAAAAACCTCACTCATCCGCGAAGAGAGCAAAAAATGAACTATATTTTTCAAGAATTTGTGTATGAAATGAACTAATTGATACATCTAATGAGAATATTCATGAAACTAGCTAACGTTACCTGACGTTGCCTCTGCTCTAGGCGTAACTTCTCTGAGTTAGCAACTTCATATTCTCCATTTTCAAGAAATCTTTGATCAGGTCTAAGCCTTGAATCTGTTGGAGGCAACTTTTCCTGTTTGCATAAACCGCGAAAGAAGAATGTATATATTTTGCATAAACCAGAAGTATCAGTTACAGATAGGACTATCAATTATAGGTACCTCAAGATCAGGAGAGAGCTCATTAAGTGTGACTGCGAAACGTGTAAAGCTGTACTTTGTTTGAAAATTTGATGGTTTGCTTTGCTTCCAAAGCAAATACGCCATATCTTGTCCTAAATCCATCGATAAATTAGAGTAACTCAAACTTTCATCCCATTTCCCAAACACAGTTGCTGCTGTTTTTCCACTCTTATCTTGTACAACTCCTTGTACCTACAATGCCAATTTTAGTAAGTAGGTACAAACACCGATAATGTGGTATATACAAACACCGATATAATGTGGAGGTACTATACCTGGTGTGGATTTCTATTCATAATGGATTGCTTCTTAAATTTAAGCTTGCAAGAGTAGCCACCACTTCCTTGGATATGCATCGTACCAAAGTGATCACAATAGACTTTCCCTATAACGAGGTTGTAGATGGACGTTGTTACCTGATATAGTATAAGTTAAACAGTTCAGCAAGCATGATTGATACAAGTAGTTGCAATGCTCATCGAATCCATTACTCGTTACATTATACTTACCTTGCTCCATTGGAACATTTCTCCATCATCGAACTCTAAGTTAAGGACACCAACTGGATCAAGTTGAATTGATGGACCCCAAAATTTGCTTTTTAAATTGGTATCTCCCCACATTTTCCAACCGCGGCCTTCACAGTAGCATGCAAGAATCAAGGGATGATGACTTACCTATGTCAACAAGTTTAAAACATAAGCATTTTATTGTCATTTCGTTGAGAAAAGAAAGTATGAGATCGATTGAACTGTACCTTCTCCGAGATGAAACGTAGTCCCTTGTCTGGGTAATTGGCTTCATATGTCTCACCCAATAATGGATTAAATGGCTTGAACTTTCTATCTTCTGTGCAAGCATATCCTGATACAGCAAATGCTGCAACATTAAGCATCCTCATAAGGCTATTTCCCTACAAAAAATAATGTTCAAAGCAATCACATCTCAAATAGCTAAAGTGGAAAACATTGAGTTCAAAGGACAAAGTTCTACTGGAAAAGGAAACCACACAACGTTCACACAACTCGTTGTAAATGCTTACCGTTCTCCCCCATTCATATGCTTGATCAAGAAGGTAAGAGTACTCAAAATCTTCGAAACATTTCTGCAAAGAAGAGAGGGGTTCATTGAAGTAGACAGGAAGACAAACTCTAGTTAGATCTTTCCCGATGTTATCTTTGATCATTGACCAAAGGCTTATGCCCTTCTCCTCGTTAACGGGGTCAGGCAATTTCTCTCTTCGCTCTATGTAAGGGTAGTCACATTCGACAAATCTCATAAAAGAACTAAGACCATCTTCAGATGGATGAACCTCCTCATTATCTGAATCAAAAGATGAGCTTTCATCATAACAATTGGCGGTTCTCAAGGAACACGTAGAAAGACAATCTAGAGCATCAAAAAACAAGTTATCAGTGTGAACATCATCATCAATCTCCTCCTGCCTATAATGCTCTTCGTTCGATCTGCTTGTGTTTCCTCCTGCAAAATACCAAATTAGTTAGAGAACTTTCTCCATATTAGCAAGTTATGAAACAATATTTCACTTGTCATTACATAATCGTCTAAACCATATTCTTATACTACCATTTTGATCACTTCTTATGGACTCGTTGAGAATGATTCTGATCTAGTTCATGGCCTAATAGAAGTAAAGAACGCTCTAGTGGGATCTTCACTGACAGAAAAAGATTGCAGTCAGTTTGATAACGATCAAGTAACATTATATTGCTTCTTCTCACTAGCTCACATATCCAAGTTTTCAAACATTGCACTTAACTATGAGAAAACAAAGTAAAGAGAAAAATAAAGAAACAGAGAAAAAAAAGAAGAACAATATAATGATAGCTCTAGTTTTATGAAAACTTCATGACATTAACCTTTCATATCGCTCTCTCGAGTTCCAACCTTGCAATTGTTGTTCATTCTAGGCATATGAACAAAATCACTTGTTATAAATGCCTTCTTTGCTCCAAACAATCCTTCCAACCATATTAACCTATCGTCCTTCGACTCTGCCCTCAATTGCAGCTTCTTCTTCCCATTAATTATCAAAAACCTTCGATCGTCTGAACAACTTCCCATTACTGTTGAGTCCTATATAGATAGTAGTGTTAAGATTATATCCAATCCAAAATCAAAATCAATCTTACAAAGCATATGATTCCATTTTCTCATACAACTTCTAATTATTCTATTTTTCTAAAATCAAACAAACTAGTAATACTTATCAACCCTCTTGTTCAATTTTATGAGGTACCTACATATATAACACTAAATATTACGTATCAAGGACAGTTTGGTGCACAAAGCATCCCGCGTTCACTCAGAGGTCTAGGGAAGGGACACATCCAAGATATGTAATGTAGACAACCTATTCTAATGCAAGCATTACCAACAAATTAGGATATTCTTCATATATCTCAAACGTCTTTTTTTTTTCTTTCTTAAACTATGTGCCTAGTCAAACACCTTAAAAAAATTAAGGATTCATGTCCAAATAAGAACAAAAATTAGATATTTTGACCTTTTATATACCAAAAACCATCATTTTTCCTTTTGGAAGACAATCCAGAAAGCATAAATATCATTATAAATTAGATACCTTAAGGTGTATTTCACGTAATGGTTTTCGAGGGAGGAATTGGTCAGATGGAGTTGTTTTACATGTGTTGATGAAACGAAATGATTTCTTCCCTACAACAGTGAAGCCATTCTGTGTTTCGGAATTAAAAACTTGTCCATTGATTTTATAGTAGAAAAGCACACCGTCATGAAGAACAAACCAACGAGGCCTCCATCCTCTACCAAAATTTGCCCATTTGTATAAAATTCCACAAATTCCATTATCCAAATTATCACTATTGTTATAATTATGTAGTTTGGAGGAACGTTTTCCGGGAGGATGATGACGTACAACCACCGTGTTTTTGTCAGCCACGGCGGTGACACAGCACAGAAAATGCATGAGTTTTTGCATTAATCAAAAAGTTCCAAGGAAAAATTCAAGAGATGAAGAAAAAATGATCAATTTATTCAAACTTGTTCTTTTGCCGCGAAAATAGGACATTTTAAAATAATGAATGATGAGGAGTAACTAACTAATTATACTTTTCAGAAACTTTATTAGTGGTACCAATAACTGTCTCACACAAGTTTTAATTAGTTTTTATAATTATGGTGTTTGGACTAACGTTATCGATTAAATCTATAAGGTACTTAATATCGTAGAACTCTATCCAATCAATTTGTAGTATGTTATTATTTAATTTTATAAAGTCATAATACATAAACGTATTTTATAACTTGGCACTAGGATATCTATGTCATTAAATTTTAAATGTACACAAACAGACACTTAAACTTATATATATACTTATAAAGTTTAATAAGCATATATACGCATCCTACGTGATGTCCTACAAATCAATTTGAGTGTATCTCACGTGAATAATCATGTAGGACATCACGTATATGAAGTGTGTGTCTATTTATTCAACTTTCTGTAAAATTGGATGTCTAATTATAGACACCCAAAATTTGAGTACATAAATGTCAATTGAGATCAAATCATCAAAGGGTACTTTAATGTATTATACCTTTTACAAATGATCATATCGTCATGCTTACTATGAAGATTTTTTTTTTATTGTTATTAATGTATATATTTAATTCTCTTTGCTTTCATTATACACAAGCTTAAAACATTTATTTGGATTTCTCTTTGTGACTTCTAAAATTTCCTATAGTACCACCAAAAAAGATATGATGGAGTTATTCTTCTCCTAATAAATAGTTTCGAGTTTGAGCCCTATATATGAAAAAAATTCTTGATAGAAATCACTATCTCTCGAATGAGGCCCTATTTGGTACGAATCCAAATTAGTTCAACTCCAATATAAATAAGATACCGGACAAAAGAAAGAAACTTGAAAAACTTCCCTATAGTAACCCAAAAGTAAGAAAACTAATTCTTTTTTAAGAAGCAATAAAGATGGAGTATATTCCAAAATAATTTTCCAAGATTTATGTCCTATATTTCATATCTGAAAGAGTTAACGGGACAATTCTCCCTATATAAGAAGAATAAAGGACCATAAAAGCTGAAAATACAAAATAAAGTACCAAATAATACTTTTCAAAAACTTCAGTGGTGGAAAAAGTAAGTAAAAAATATTTAGTTGCCCTAGTTTGTCACAATAAACCCCATCCACCCCCTCAATTTTCTCAAATTTACACCATTGTGTTTGAAAAGTAACCTGTTTTTTTTCTTCTCTCTCGCTTGATCTTCTCTAAGGTATCTTCTAAAACTCGTAATTTTTGAAATTTTATTGCTATTGAATCTGAGTTTTTGTGATTCAAGCTTGAGCTAGCTTAATTTTTTGATTTTGTTGATTGAAGTGACTGATCAATTTTTATTGTTGAAAATTTGGATCTGTGCAATTTCATTATATGTTAAGTTGATTTGATGTATTTCTATTGGATCTAGATATGAAATTGGATTGTTTTTCACTGTTTGTTAAAAGAATTGCTAAAATTGAATTAGGAAGATATAGATTCGTTCGGGAGATTAATCTATAGTTGCGTGAAATTTGTATTTCAGATGTTTGATTAATAAAATTTAGATTTTTTTGTATGATAAGTATTGTGAAAAGGTGATTTTTGGTGCTTATAGTCCTTGCATATTGTCTATTTTAAATTTGTAAGTATTTGAGTTTAACAGTATAATTCCTTTCTATGTTAAGTTAATTTAGTGTATTTTTATTGGATCTAGATAAGAAATTGGATTATTTTTCACTATTTGTTATGAGAATTGGTGAAATTGAGAGAGGGAGATATAGATTCGTTCGGAAGATTAATCTATAATTGCGTGAAATCTATATTCCAGAAGTTTGATTAACAAAAAAGTAGTTTTTTTTTATGTGTGATCAGTATTATAAGTAGGTGATTTTGGTGCTTATGGTCCTCATATATTGTCCTTTTAAAACTTCTGAGTATTTTGGTGTAACAGTATAAGATGATTTATAGCAACAACAACAACAACATACCCAGTGAAATCCCACTAGGTGGGGTCTGGGGAGGGTAAAGTGTACGCAGACCTTACCACTACCTCGTGGAGGTAGAGAGGCTGTTTCCGGAAGACCCTCAGCTCAAGTGTAACAAAGCCAAGTAAAGGAAGAGAATTATATAAAGCATAACATCCAATAAGAAAAATAGTGCATAATCAACAAAGGGGGCAATACATCAAGAAAATAATGCGAGAAGTGAAACGCAGTAAACAACATAAGGCAATAGGGATCACATACAAGAACTACAAGTGTACGGCTAAGACTCCTACAAACGCTAACAACCCATACCCTCGCCAGGAAAGACAGCACGCTAACCCTACTAGCCTTCAACCTTAATACGTGACCTCCACTCCTTCCTATCTAGAGTCATGTCCTCGGTAATGTGTAGCTGGGCCAAGTCCTGTCTAATCACCTCTCCCCAATACTTCTTGGGCCTACCTCTACCCCTCCGCGTACCCTCTACTACCAGCCCCTCGCACCTCCTCACTGGGGCGTCCGCGCCCCGTCTCTTCACATGTCCAAACCATCTCAGTCTCGCTTCCCTCAGCTTGTCCACCACCGAGGCCACTCCCACCTCGCCCCTATAAGATGATTTATAGCCTAAACACAAATATCTATGACTTGTTTTAGACCACAAGTTTCATAAGTGCGTCTTTCTTTGTTAAACTCCGTGCCAAATCAAACAACAATAGGGACAGTGGGAGTAAAAAGAAAAGCTATTCTTATATATTGGTGTTACTAGAACTTGATTTGAGCTTCCTCTGAATATGTTATTCTCTACCCCAGGGATTGTTGTTTACAGTTGTGTATTTACCCTAATTTTTGAAGTGAAAATGTGTTTTTTTTTAATAAAAAACATCTGCAGGTAAGCACGCCTTGTGATTACTGATTCATTAAGTTGATTTGATACAAAGGAGAAATATGTTGAGCTTTTGAATCCTTTTCACCCCGGTTCTCTGATATACAGTAATGTAAATACTCCTGTGTCTTGGCTAACTTGTAAGGTGTGTATAGATGTTACAAGTGTTTGGTTTGTTTTTAATGCTTGCCATTTGTTAGTTTCTTGAAGATCGAAACTGTTGTACCTTGGTTTATTATGTATTCTTCTTGTTCAATAGTTGCTTATGTGTACTATCAATCTGATGGTTTTCCGTTTGAACTGCAGTTCTGTATACAATGTCGGATGGTCAGGAGAGCGATAAGAACATTGAGATATGGAAGATTAAAAAACTTATCAAGGCACTGGAAGCTGCTAGAGGCAATGGCACCAGCATGATTTCACTTATCATGCCTCCACGTGATCAAGTATCTCGTGTTACCAAGATGCTTGGAGATGAGTTTGGAACTGCATCAAATATTAAGAGCAGAGTGAATCGCCAATCTGTGCTTGGTGCAATCACATCTGCTCAGCAGAGGCTTAAACTCTACAACAAGGTTCCACCGAATGGGCTTGTCCTTTACACTGGAACAATTGTGACTGATGATGGGAAAGAGAAGAAGGTTACAATTGATTTTGAGCCATTCAAGCCCATTAATGCATCACTCTATCTCTGTGATAACAAGTTCCACACTGAAGCCCTGAATGAACTTTTGGAATCTGATGACAAATTTGGATTTATAGTGATGGATGGGAATGGGACTCTTTTTGGGACATTGAGTGGCAACACGCGCGAGGTCCTTCATAAGTTTAGTGTTGATCTGCCCAAGAAACACGGAAGAGGAGGACAATCAGCCTTGCGTTTTGCTCGTCTCCGGATGGAGAAACGACACAACTATGTGAGGAAGACAGCAGAGCTTGCAACCCAATTTTATATAAATCCTGCCACCAGTCAGCCCAATGTCTCCGGCCTGATACTAGCTGGTTCTGCTGACTTTAAAACAGAGCTCAGTCAATCTGATATGTTTGATCCTCGTCTTCAGGCTAAGATTCTAAATGTGGTTGATGTTTCTTATGGAGGGGAAAATGGTTTTAACCAAGCAATTGAGCTCTCTGCTGAGATCTTAGCCAATGTGAAGTTTATACAAGAGAAGAAATTGATAGGCAAGTACTTTGAGGAGATTAGTCAGGACACTGGGAAGTACGTCTTTGGGGTGGATGATACATTAAAAGTTCTGGAAATGGGTGCTATTGAGACACTTATTGTGTGGGAAAATCTGGATATTATGAGGTATGTGCTGAAAAATAGCGGTTCTGGAGAAATAGTTGTCAGACACTTCAACAAGGAGCAGGAGGCTGATCAGAGTAACTTCCGTGATCCTGTTACAAATGCAGAATTAGAGGTTCAGGAAAAATTGTCACTGCTTGAGTGGTTTGCTAATGAGTACAGGAAATTTGGTTGTAGTCTGGAATTTGTCACCAACAAGTCACAAGAAGGATCTCAGTTTTGTCGAGGTTTTGGTGGTATTGGAGGACTCCTCCGTTATCAGCTTGATGTTCGAGCTTTTGATGAGCTTTCTGATGATGGTGAAGTTTACGAAGACTCTGACTAGCAATTACCAACTTCTCAAATACCAGTGCAGAAGTTGAGCGGGAAAGCCTGTACTGGTGTGCCAGGGCTATCGCCTTATTTGTCCGCTCATGTTCTAAGTGAAATATTTCTAAGAGCTCTTAAGGTGAGTCGGAAGAATCCATTTTCATACGAGCCTTTATTCTTCCTACGTAATGGTCTATAAAGCTTGTTTCTAATATGTATTAACCAGATGGATGATCTGCACGGCGAACCTAAATTGGCATCAATTCCACCCTGCGCTTGTCGAATCCCGTTCAGTTTCCAAGTGATTCAGGCTGTTGAAAGAATGGAGAACTAAATCCAAGCAGTGTGGCTGTTATTTTCCTGTTGAAGATGGAGAACATCAAAAACTTTATGCTATGCTCTTCTTGGAGGAGTGATGCATATGA